TTGGTCACCACAGGCGGGGGACCGGGACCGGCTTGGTCGGTGTCGTCGACCTCACGCACGACACAGAGGAACGACGTGTCCTTCTTGATCAGCCTCTTGAATTGCATGGCTGAGAGGAGAGGTGGCATGTTGGGTGAGGCCATGCCCTGCAGGACAATGTCAGGGCCAACACGGACAGTGCGGCCTTTCCAGTCGACGACTGGAGTCGGCTCGGCACGAGCAAGCCAGCTCATGCCGAGGATGGCATCGAACTTGGTGTCGATCACTTGGAACAACAGGACAGGATGGTACTTGGGATGGAGGGCCACTCGCAGGACCACTTGGTGTGTGCACTGCTGCACACGATCGTCTGCAAGCGCCACACTCATCGGCGACTTCTTCTTGGTTGCATGTATGTTGAGCTCCTGGAGCAAGCGTCTGCTGACAAAGTTGCAGCTTGCTCCAGAGTCCACCATCATTCGGACGGTGTGACCTTGGACGGTGGCAGGGAGGTACAGCAGGGACTCTTCATGGTCCTCCTGCACAGCCTCCTGCACCATGACTTGACTTGGGGGAACGGGCGACACTTGGTCTTGGTTGGCTTCATCACGGCCACTCGGACATTTTGGATAGGGTTCGGCCATTGCGGGGGCCTGCGGCGTCAGCACGCCATTGCACACGACGTCCACGGCTTGCGGACACATGTCGGAAGCATCCGACACACACGACTTGACAGGGGTGAGGGCACAGGCGGTCCTGTCCCTCAAGGGTTCTTGATTTTCTTTTTTGTTTTGGTTTTCAATTTTGGTTTTCTCTTCACGTTCGTGGAGAGGCAGGCGGCTTGCGCCACCATGCACCTCTCGCACGACGCACAACACTTGGTTTGTTTCTCCTTCGGGGGAGGGGGCGAGGTGAACTTCCTCTGGAGACGCGTGGACTGCATTGAGCAATCCACGGCGTTGGTCTCCTACTAGGGCTCCAGAGCCACCTAGTAGGGTCGGCCGTTTCCCGACTTCATGGGGCACTCCTTGGCCTGGTGTCCCGGTCGGTGACAGAAGAAGCAGGAACCATGGCGGAGGTCCTCCTGCTTCTGTCTGTCCTTGGGGGAGACAGTGGCAGCTTGCTGGAACCGGGAGCGGGGAGGGCCACGAGCCTCCATGGCGTTGACGTCAACGTCCATGGGCTCAGGCATGGGTCTTGCGGGCGGGGCCGGGCGAGGCGGACGGGCTGGGACGTGATGAGACCGATGGCCGCCTGCCAGCTGCGGGTAGAACTGGCGGCCATGGTACTGGACGTTGTCGAGGTTCTCGGCAACGTCCATCATCACGTCCAGGGACTTGCGGGCATCAGGGTTGCTGGCGATGTACTCTCTGATCTTGGGCTTGAGGCCCTTCTGGAAGAGGTACATCGCATCAGCAGAGCCCAGCTCCTCAATCTGGGAGGAGAGGTCTTCAAACTCCTCGATGTAGCGGGTCACAGAACCACGCTGCACGAGAGAGTATAGCTTGTCACGGGCAATGAGTTCAGCATTGGGGCTGCCGAAGCGGCGACGGAGGCGGTCCTTGAAGTCGTCAAACACACCTTCGCTCTGCTCGTCGAACCCTTGGCGGCGGTACCAACGGTACGCCTGGTCCTTTAAGCAGAGCTTGGCGGCGACGATGTGGTGGGTGGGGGCGACTTGGGCAGCATCGAGGTAGTCCTCGAGTTGCTGCAGCCAGTCCTCCACCGAGGAGGAGCGGCTCTTCCCAGTAAACACTGGGGCACGGAAGGTCTTGAGGAAGGCTTCCGGAAGTGGGCGGGGGTTGCTCATGGCAGGGGCAGGCTCCAGGGACAGAGAGGAGAGTCGGTCGGCAAGAGAGGCGGGATCCAGCTTGAGGATCTAGAAAGAGGACAAACAGGACGAAAACAAGACGAGGATTTCCGATGCTACCATGTAACGTCCACTACTGGGACGTTGGGGCAAGACGGGGAGGGAGGGGGTACAAGACAAGACAGGACGGGGCAGAACAGGGCGGTGCTAGGCTACTCTAGCGGACGGGTGAGCTCGGGGAGCACTTACGTTTATTCACGATAAAACCGAACTCCAGACAAACGGGGGGAACGGGGGCAACCCGCAGGTATACCCTGCGGTGGCCTGCCTGCGGTGCGTGAAAACGCAAAGCGCAGCACAGGTCACGACCCACTGCGCCGCGCAGTACGCGCAGTACGCGCAGCACAGCGTCGGAGATACCATCTCCTACATTGTCTCAGGAAGAGGAATCGAAGTCGACCCCGCCAAGGTCAAGTCTGTGGTCGAGTGGCCGCCGCTCGCATGCGTCTCTGACGTGCAGTCGTTTCTCGGTCTCGTCAACTACTACCGCCGATTCATCCCCGATCTGGCGCGCACTGCCGGTCCACTCACAGACCTACTCCGCAAAGAGTGCCCCTTCGTGTGGGACCACCCACAACGCCAAGCGTTCGAGACCCTCAAGCACGCCTTGACGAACGCTCCTGTCCTCGCTGTGTTCGACCCGAACACGGATGTCTCCGTGCACACCGACGCCTCCGACTTTGCGGTGGGAGCTGTTTTGATGCAGGAGGGAAGGCCCGTTGCCTTCGAGTCGCGCAAACTGTCCCAACACGAGATCAACTATCCCGTGCACGAGAAGGAGCAGCTTGCGATCATCTACGCGCTGCAGAAGTTCCGAGTGTACCTCCACGGTACCGCCAAGCCCTTCAAGATTGTGACGGACCACCAGTCACTGCGTTACCTCGACACCAAGAAGAACCTGAGCCGACGCCAAGCGCGATGGATGGAGTTCCTCGCCGAGTACAACTACGAGGTTGTATACCAGAAAGGCAAACTCAATGTGGTGCCTGACGCACTGTCCCGACGCCCCGACTACCAATTGGCGTCACTGTACGAGTCGACTGTCAGTGTCGACAACACGATGCTGGATGTTGTCCGAGACAACATCGCCAACGACAAACAGTTCGGAGAACTGTTCCGAAAGGTGTCTAAGCTCCCCAAGGACGACGAATCATCCGAGTACACAGTGCGTGATGGCCTGCTCCTCCTGAAGAAGGACAGCCGTGTCTGTGTGCCGGACATTCCGTCGTTGAAGACCAAGTTGCTCCAAGAGGTCCACGACTCGCCCCTCGCTGGACACTTTGGAGTCGAGAAGACATACGACCGACTGGCCAAAGTCGCATACTGGCCTGGAATGAAGCGCACCGTCGAGAAGTACATCGAGTCCTGCCATACCTGCAAGATGGTCAAGTCACGCACGACCCGAGAGCAAGGATTGCTGCAACCCCTGCCTGTTCCCGACCGCCCCTGGACCAGCATGTCCATGGATCTCATCACGCATCTACCGACGACCAAGTTGGACCACGATGCAATCGCTGTCTTTGTCGACAGGTTCAGCAAGATGGCACACTTTGTGCCGTGCCAGACGACATGCTCCGCGCCTGACCTTGCACTGCTGTTCTTCAAGCATGTGTTCAAGCACCACGGCCTCCCAAAGTCCATCGTCAGTGATCGAGACCCCCGATTCACCTCCTTGTTTTGGACAAGTCTGTTCGACCATCTCGGCACCAAGCTGAACATGTCAACCTCGCACCACCAACAAACGGATGGACAGTCCGAGCGGACGATCCGCACCCTCGAGCAATACCTGAGGACATACGCCTCGACCAGCCAAGACGACTGGGACATACAGCTGAGTCATGCAGAGTTTGCATACAACACCGCCAAGTCGAGCACAACTGGCTTGAGCCCCTTTGAGGCGCTCTACGGATTCCAGCCTGATGTTCCCACCTCCTTGACACTGACCGAGTCCACGGCTGGATTGCCTCCCAAACCAAGTGCCTTTGTCAAAGATCATCAAGTCCGACACAAGATGATCGCCGACGCGCTCACGGATGCGCAACAAGTGATGGCGAAGTACTACGACCGCCGACACCAGGATGTCTCCTTTGAAGTTGGAGACCTTGTCTACCTGGACGCCGACAACATCAAGGTCCCCGAAGCCCAGTCAAAGAAGTTGTTGCCCAAGTACCGAGGACCGTTCAAGATAGCGGCCCGACCCAGTCCCCTCAACTACCTGTTGGACTTGCCACCTGGAAGCAAGCTCCATCCTGTCTTCCATGTGTCCAAGCTGCGTCGCCACACGACCCGCAGTCCAGCACAGTTCCCCGACGCCGACGAAGGTGTCCCGGACGACGCACCACTGGAAGACGACCTCGGACAATACTATACTCAAGAATATGAAGTCGAAAGGATCGTGAGGCACAAGAAAGTGGCTGATGGGTCACTTCGGTTTTATGTCAAGTGGGTTGGTTACCCACACTCGGGCAACACATGGCAAACACTGGAGGACTTGTCCCATGCACCCGAGGAGCTGAGTAAATACGGTAAACACCTCGAGGAGCCCCAAATAAAGAGCACACGCAGGGCTCCTCGCAGGAAGCCTTCTTAAGTGTGGGAGTGTAGGAGATGGTATCTCCGACGCTGTGCTGCGCGTACTGCGCGTACTGCGCGGCGCAGTGGGTCGTGACCTGTGCTGCGCTTTGCGTTTTCACGCACCGCAGGCAGGCCACCGCAGGGTATACCTGCGGGTTGCCCCCGTTCCCCCCGTTTGTCTGGAGTTCGGTTTTATCGTGAATAAACGTAAGTGCTCCCCGAGCTCACCCGTCCGCTAGAGTAGCCTAGCACCGCCCTGTTCTGCCCCGTCCTGTCTTGTCTTGTACCCCCTCCCTCCCCGTCTTGCCCCAACGTCCCAGTAGTGGACGTTACACGCCGAGGAGCAAGCCCGAATCGCGAAAGAAAAAGCCAAACGGAAGGGACTGTTCAAGTGGTTCCGCAAGTAGTGTGGGAAGAACGCAAGTGCAATTGGAATGTATTGCATGCGAATATCGAATACAGTGTCCGTATGCCGTGTGAATTTGGGCATAGGTCCGCCTCTGCCGCCGCCATATTTTCGTTCAAACCCGACCGTAATGGTCGTTGAAGCGAAGACCAATGAACCAGTCTCGCATGTGGCCGGAGCCACGGTGGTTCCAGACAGAGCTGGAGGTCTCAACTGGAGTGCCAGTTGGTGATGGGCGGCGGCAGAGGGCTTATCAAATCAAATCAACAGAGTCATGTTCCAGGAGTGGTTCCCATTTGAGTCGGGAGAGTATCGGGCTTGGTGGTCTTGGTGTCGCGAGCGATGCTCGAGTGGATCGATAGAGACAGGAATGGTCTCGGATGTGCCATGGATGGGCAGGAATGTCTTGAGGCGTCGATAGTGACGTGCGACGCGTAGTAATCGCGGAATGCGATGGATAGGATGGTTTGTGCCGGATGATAGCAGGCAATATAGGTAATATAGGCAATGTAGGTAATGATAGTATAGGCCGTAGAAGAGGCAGTATGGAGTAGGCAGTGGGCAATGGGCCAGAGGACGAAGGCCAGGAGGAGCATGATTGTGATTGTCATTTTTGGTTTCTGCGAATGGAACGTGCAGACTGGAGATGCCGAGTCATGTTAGCCATCGCACAGCATGACACACGGACATGCATGGAGTATCATCACGGAAGGAAATACACTTACGTTACGGTCTTGAGATTTGCTGCTGCCCAACTGCCTGGGGAGCAATCAGCACCCTCAGAACGAGCCGAATTTATGGGCCAGGAATCCCGCCAAAATCGACGCGCCAAATTCCAACCCGCCAACACCCACCAACACGAATCACTCCTGTAGGGTGTGCTCTTCCCGCCACTGGTCCCGCCAATCATGCCCGGCACTGCGGCGAATGGGGTGGATGCCATACCAGTGATTTCCATCTCTGCCCTGATCCCAACCTCCACCCGCGCTCCATAGTAGGATATTGATCCGGAGATGCTCGGGTATGTCCATTCTCCCTCCACAATCCGTGAGTTGTACGCTCTTGTGCATTAGATTTCCGGATTCATGGAGAGGGTGTGTCGGGGTTGTGCATTAGAATTCTGCATGGAGTGAGTGGTATTTGTACCTTCCTTGGATCTCAAGGAGTGATGTTATCGAGTGAGGGTGTAGTTGTATCGGTGCTGTGTATTAGAAATGGATTTTGTGGAGTGAGGGTCTTGTCGTCGTTGCCAGCTACCCAAAAATACAGAAAATTCAAAAAATTTCAATCTCTTTCTTGGCCGGGGGTTTCAGCCAGCTCATCCAGGACCCATGGAGTGAGACGGGTTTCAGAGCGAGCACAGCCACTCCATGAACCATGGAGACGTTTCGGGTCGTGTGTATTAGTGTGGATCACCCGTGCATCAGCTCTCGAGTGGGCGTGCATCAGGACGACAGAATTCTGCATTAGCCATGGAGTGGGCTGTGTATTTGATGTCCGACATCTCCCACACCACCATCGTGTAGCGGGGAGTACAGCTATGCATCAAAATACAAACAAATCGACCACACCACACAAAACCATGGCTCGATGGTGCCTACATCTGAAGAAGGGGTGCGTACTCCATTCACTGTGTGTAGCGCTCGCGAATGAGCCTCTCATAGTGAGACCAAAGAACAGCACCATTGCTCTTGACCATGATGGAGCGCTTGAGCAAGTCCATAAACACGGCTTGAACCTGTGGATCGTTTCTGGCTGCTGTGATGTCGTTCAGAGCGATCATATCAACCCAGTGGTCTGGGCGATCCCAGTTATGTGGTGCACTGGGGGAAATGCTGAGGATTTGCTGGCGTGCTATCTTGCTACCATCCCTGTACGCCATGAGCAGCCTATACTGATATGTAGCCTTGCAGGTCATCCATCGAGGGAAGCCAATCGAGTTCTTCATGCAGTAGACACTCAGAAGGTTCCTGTCCCTTTCAGGGAGACTGTGCCCCGACGATTCAGACAACCAATGCCAGATGGACGATGCATGGGGCGCATGTCGGATCCATCCATATCGGCAGATGTCGTAGATCTGCTGGACGCTGTCATGATAACCACTTCGAGCACATTCGACCAGGAGATCCAAGGCCCGGGTCGGGTTGGCATCAGTACCTCTGCCGAATCGATAGCATTCGTGGAAGGTGTACTTGATCTTCAATTTTGATGCGTCCAACGACTTGAGCCACTGAAAGTACGCCTGGGCGATCTCGACAGATGGTCCCCTGAGAAAGATGTTCCTATGATCAACGAGGAAGTCGTCGAGTGCCTCGGATCGGTTGGTCAAGACGGAAAGGCATTTGCTGTGGATTTCGCCATCGCAGAACCCGTTCTCGACGACCCACATCGCAGTGGGGATATGCTTGGCCTCGAGGAGTCGCTGCACGATATGGGATTCGGGGTTGCCAAGGCGGGTGTGGCATGCGACTCGGACGAACTCGGCCGAGACCTCGTATTTCGGAATGGTCTTGAGCCACTTGACGTCGAAGGCGACTGGCCCGGTGGGGAAATACTTGACCAGTTGGACGCAGTCATCGGAGAGGAGTCTGGTGTGGTGTTGCTTGTTGAACCACTCGGCCCAGATGCGAATCCCCACGGTCTTGGTCGAGAGCAGAGCCCTCACGTCGCTGGAAGTTGCCTTGAGCTTCGCGAGACTGCAAGCGGGGAGCATCTCGATCAGCTCAGGGATCGAGAGGACGGCCAGGAGGATGGGGTAGGTCTCTTCGATTCCCAAGGAGATCAGCTGCTCATGGAGGCGCTGGCGCTTGGTAGCCCGGGTGCTCATCGAGCGGGTGATGCGCTTGGTAACCAGGGAGGACATGGTGATGAAGGAGAGGTGCTCCAGCGACGCACACCAGGTCCCTCATATACCCTATACCCAGCGGCGCCGCTGGGGCGATTGTGCCTGTCAGAGAGGGTGTCACTCGAATTCCTGTCAGAGAGGATGTCACTCGACTTCCTGTCAGCCATGACAGATTGCCCCAATCCTGCTAGTCAGTCACGTGTCCAAAATAGAGAATCCAGCATGGAGTGTGTGTGTGCCACTACCGATCTCCAACGAGCATCACCCCCACTCCACGATTCGTGAGTTGTTCGCTCCTGTGCATTAGATTCCTGGATTCATGGAGGGGGTATGTCTGTGTTGTGCATTAGATTTTGTATGGAGTGAGTGCTATTTGTACCTTCATTGGTTCTCAAGGAGTGATGTTGTCGAGTGAGGGTGTGGTTGTGTCGGTGCTGTGCATTAGAAATGAGTTTCGTGGAGTGAGGGTCTTGTCGTCGTTGCCAGCTACCCAAAAATACAGAAAATTCAAAAAACATCATTGTCAATCCTGGCCAGAGGTTTCAGCCAGCTCATCCAGGACCCATGGAGTGAGGTGGGTTTCAGAGCGAACAAGACCACTCCATGAACCATGGAGACGTTTCGGGTCGTGTGTATTAGTGTGGATCACCCGTGCATCAGCTCTCGAGTGGGCGTGCATCAGGACGACAGAATTCTGCATTAGCCATGGAGTGGGCTGTGTATTTGATGTCCGACATCTCCCACACCACCATCGTGTAGCGGGGAGTGTAGCTGTCCAGCCCATCACATATTCACCACCTCCCCATCATCCTCCTCCGTCCTTGGCGCACCCAGCCAGCCCCTCAGTTCCCGCATCAGCGTGCGCAGCTGGTTGAAGCGAGCGGCCGACATGGTCTTGTTCATGAGGATCTCCGAGGCGGCGTCGGTGTAGAGGCCAAAGATTCGCTTGTACACCCGGTTCGAGTCGATCGGGACTGAAGAAGTCGTCAAGGCAAACTTTGCCTCGACGATGTCGTCGTTGAGATCGCAGGACTGGTCGTCAACGAAATCGAGCAAGTCGTTGAATCGTGCGCTGGCCGTGTCGGTGCGCTCGAGCTTGATGCGCTTGGCCTTGCCGACGGAGCCCCTGGTGTCCGGGGTAGGCGGGGACTCGAACAGGACGGGCGAACGTTGGCGGTTGTAGATGAACGAGGAAGACATGATCGATGAAGGTGGTGAACGAGGACCAGCGGCACCAGCGGCACCGGCGGCCCTTTTGTACCTGGTCGGTGCTATCGGACACTGCAAAGTCCGTGGTGCCCCATCTAGTTGGCGTGGACGGTGGCCTTGCCTTTCCCCTTCCCGTCGATCACCTGGTCGTGTGCCCCGTTGTCTTCAGGCGGAGCTTCAAAGGCAGGGGGCTTGAATGGTGCGATCTCGAATGCGGGGAGTGGCAGTGACTCGGCGTGCTTCCGCTCCTCATCCGGCATCTCATTGTACCGCTCGATCATGCCTTCCAGCTCGCGCTGGCGATACTCCAGCACAGACGCCAGACGCTTGATATCGAACCACAGAGACACCGTCTCCTTCTCGGGAGGGACTGGGATCGGCCCCGTCGTGGACTTGAGCGCTTCGATGTGCTCGTTGAAGGCCTTGGTCGACTCCTTCACATGCTTCTTGTGCTCGTTGATCAGCTCGGTCAGCTGCGACTGCACATAGTTGACGTCGGGGACTTCGAGCGGATTGTCCACCCACGGGACCCAGCGGCCCACCGGCATCACAAAGACGTCGAAGGAAGGGTCCGTGTTGCGAATGGCGTGGGCCAGCGACTTTGCATCGTCCAGGGTATCGGTCACTCCCCGCAGCTTGAACGCTTGAATGCTGCACTTGTTTCGGGGGTTCAGCGGAGATACCATCGAGATGCACGCAAAGCGCTGGCCGGGGATCGGGGCATCGTCGTGGGGAAGAACGGTGGACATGTTTTGGTTTGTGTGTTGTCGTCGGATAACATAGACCGGGGGAAATTAGTAGTCGTCGTAGAACGCGCCTTCAGTGTCGTCGTAGATCGTTTCGTCGACCGGACCTGCTCCGGCCATGATGGACGACGCATAGAGGTTGTATGGATTGAATTGATAAAAGAGACCAGGGGATGCCGCGGGTGTGCTGGTGGACAGGATCGATGTCGTTGGATAGAGCGATTCACTGTCGAGCAGCGGCTTCAAATCGTGGCTTTCGATGAGCTCGTCGAGTGCGTTGTCGATGTGGTATTGGTCCACGCCAAAGAGCGAGGGTGTGAAGTTGGTGTTGTTCAGCGGGGTGCTGCGAATATACGGCGACTTGTCAAAGAGGCTGCGCATTGGCTCGGCCGGTGTCGTCCGCTGCTTCATCAGCTTGACGTGCATGCCGATGATGTCCTTGAGGACCGTTTTCAGATCGCGGTTGCCGATCGAGGGCTGAGTACGGGCGGCCCAGGGCGAGTTGCCGCTGGAATAAGAGAGACGGTGTCGCAGGGGTGCAAAATCCGATTCAGTAAGGGTCGGGCCCGGCGAGCTGGTGTAGGTGTCGTCGTCGTCGTCGTTGGTTGGCTTCTGTGTTAGGTTCAGGGGGGTTGCGGGCATGCTGGGTGGTGGGGTGTACGTCGTCTGTGCTGAACTTGTTCCTGAAGCGGTCAATGGTGGGGGAATAGATTCACCGACCCGAAAATTAGATGCATTGGTTTTGGTTTTGTTGTCGGTCAAAGCTGGACCACTGTAGCCTGGAAGTGTATCTGCGGTTGGGACTGGATTTACTGTGGGTGGGTTTGGATGGTGTTCCGTGGACGATGGTACACTCGTGCTAGGACGTCGACTTGGTGGTTTAGGGCGTGCATTTGCATCGGTAATGGCGGTTGCAACTCTTCTTGATAATTCGTCGTACTTGTTGTCGTAGTCGATGATCAAACCTTCGACTTGTGCAATCCTCATGTCAAGCCATGCTGTCCCGAGCTCGCTAGCAACCTCCAGCCTTTCGGGCGAAATGGTAGTCGATTGACTTTTTAATTTGTTATAATCAGCCCTGGCCTTACTCATGGCAACATTGTTACTGACCAGTCGAGCTTGAAATAGAGTGAGCCAGTCCAAGTCATCGTCCGCGGGCATATGCTCGTTGAACTCTTTCACGAGATCTTCATGCATATTATCGCTCAGCGTAAGTGGTTGCTCGTATTTTGTGAGATAGGTTTGATAATGTTTATCCTGATTCTTTAGTTTGTCTCGCAAACTCTGGGTAGTGGTGTTTAAATCCCTCAAATGCACCTTGAGCTCGTTTGAAAATCTTAGGATGTTTACTTCCCAATTTTTAATAAACTTGACTGCAGTGTCTGCTCCAGGGAGTGTCTTCAACGATTGTGGGTTGGATTGAAATAAGACTTGAATATCGACATCGAGGACTCCTTGGATAATTTTGATTTCTCTATCAATCTCATCAATGGCGTCGTTGATAGTCTGAGGGTTGTACTCGTTAGATTTCAATGCAGCCTCGAGCTTTTCCTTGAGCTTTGGTATATAGTTTTTAGCGGTATCGACTTTTGTTTCAACTCGCTCAAACGCAACAATAACGTCGTTAATGTGGTTATACGTGGGTGGGATAATCGAACCTTGATCAGTCTGCATTGTACCGCGGATGGGTGATGAATCAGTGTCCATTGATGTGTTTTGGTTTGCTGGGTGCGTACTCTGAGAGCCTGTGGCAGGGTTGCCAAATGTGACACCTCCTGGGTTGGGAAACCCGAATAGGGGTTGATGAATTATCGGATCTGATCTCCGTCTTTCAAGAGGAGGGCCGGTGCGGCCGAATGGCATCATACTGGGATGTCCAAATGATATGGGTGGTGGAGCTGCATTGGATGGGCCAGCTGCATTGGGTGGTTGGGGGAATGAAGTCGGTTGTGTTTGAAGAGTAGCCCATGGATTGGTTGGTGCGAGTGGTGCAGGTACATTGGATGGTCCTGTGGCTGGAGTGTTTGGATTATGAAGTAAACCCACTTGTTTCAAGAGATCCAACTCCCTTTTATATTCAGGATCAGAAGCCGCAAGGCGTTCTCGGTCTTCCCAAGAGTTGACTTGCTTGGCATAATAGGCCAATTCATCAAGGTCATCTTTGAAAACGGCAGATTTTGGAGCCATCAGAAGGGTTTGTATTTACAAAGAAAAAAATGACGACTCGTAAATTCCGCAAAATACATAATGCGATATGAGCATCCATCCATATGATGATGAACATGACGCGATTGTGCAAAGTTTCCTCAACCATAACGGAGAGAATATACGGTGGATATCACAACCAACCCCTCCCGTTTTCAGCGTAGAATGGACTATCGATTGTAGTCATTCAGAATGTTTTAAAGATTTGATCGCATGTGGGTGGTTTCAAATCAATCAATTCTGGGAAATAATACATTTTGTTAATATTCCGATCACCAATGAAATAGAAATTGTGTGATACACATTACTTACTCCTTGATTATTTTGTTCCAATGAATACGGTTGAGAAACTCCATCACGAGTCGTCATATATTGATTTGATGAAGTCGGTTGTGTTTGAAGAGTAGCCCATGGATTGGTTGGTGCGAGTGGTGCAGGTGCATTGGATGGTCCTGCGGCTGGAGTGTTTGGATTATGAAGTAAACCCACTTGTATCAAGAGATCCAACTCCCTTTTATATTCAGGATCAGAAGCCGCAAGGCGTTCTCGGTCTTCCCAAGAGTTGACTTGCTTGGCATAATAGGCCAATTCTTCGAGGTCATCGGCGAAATTCTGAGGCTTGGTCGACATATTTTGTTGGTGTTATCGGGGCTGAGCAATAAAAATCACACTTGTTTTACTTGGTATTGAATGAAAATGAGCGGGTGAGGGAACGCTTTAAGTACCTATCGAGCTGGATCTGGAGGTGCTGTGGGATCGTGTACGAGAGATATAAATCATAAAGGAATCACTCATTGCGTTTTTCAACATCCCAAAATAATCTCAAGCCTCATCAAGGCCATCTTAAACAATGTCCGAGCCTGTCCTTATCGTCTCCGAGCACGCGCCCCAAACATCCCCAGCCCACCCTTCAGAAATCGCCCCTGCCGCACCAGCTGACGCAAACACCGAGCCCGAGTTTGCCCCAATCATCCCGCTGAACAAGGTGTTGATTACGAATACGGATGAGCTCGGGATCTTCGACCAATCCCGTATCCTTGCCTATTTCAAGCGCCTCAACTCTTTCTCTCATCTCTACACAAAGGACGAGGTCACGGTGGAGCTCCTTGAGTCCATCGAGCGCGAGCTGCTTTCCCACGACGAGGTATCCACCTACTGTCGCCTTTACCACGACGAGCCCGACTCACCCGTCACCCTTGAGCAGTTCGCCGCCACCCTCGAGCACTATAACCCCGAGAACTTTGTTGGGCAGATCATGCCCCGAGTGGAAAACACACGCTTCTACACGGTCGTCAAAACCTTCATTGAGTGGTCTCACAAGATTGGCAAAACAAAGAGTGTCCCCGACTTCATCGCCTCCGCCCACTGGAAGGGGGCCCTCGACACAAGCGACTTTGTCGTGAGTCAGATCATCCAGATCCTTCACCAGTCCCCCTTCGGAACGGACACACCAGTAAAACGCTCGCAACTCCCGACCCACGTGTACGAGTTCCTTAACCGGGTCTGGAAGTTTATCGCTCATCAACAAGCAACTACGGAGGCGCAGGTCTCTGACGCCACCATGACTTGTTAGAATCTGAAGGTCTTTCCTTTTCACTCTTGTCGAGTCGAAACGAAGGAATCGGGTTGCGCAAGCGTCCTACCTCATGACTCGATATCAAGGGGGCTTGGCGGTGCCTTCACTGCTTCGCCTTCCAGCAAGACGCTTGACCCAACCGACTCTGTCGCCGACGATCAAGCCCGAGCCATTCACTCCCTCCACGATGAACTCAAGTTCAACATCGCCCTTGCCCAGGACACCCAGGTCAAGTTCTACGACCCCGGCCACTCCCCTTCCCCTCCGTTCGAGGTTGGAGACCGCGTTTGGCTCTCCGGCAGGAACATCAAGACCCAGCGACCCACGGCCAAGCTCGACTACACCAAGCTCGGGTCGTTCAAGATCGCCGCTCAAGTCGGTTCCCGCGCTTTCAAGTCGGACTTGCCCTCGTCCATGTGCATTCACCCCGTCTTCCACGTCTCCCTCCTCGAGCCAGCCGCCGACGACAAGTTCCCAGGTCGAACCATCCCGCCCCTCCATCCATCCAAGTCGACGGCCACGACGAATGGGAAGTCGAACAGATCCTGGACTCCAGGCTGTTCCGAGGCAAGCTCCAGTATCTTGTGCACTGGCGTGGCTACATGGTGATGGATTGCACCTGGGAGCCACTGCATCAGGCGTCGATGAACGCAACCATTGTACATGGGCGCCATTTTGAATGACGCCCATACGGTAGCGGGATTTGGAGTGATTTTTTTTCATCGGCGATAGAAAAGTGGCTCACAGACACAGCTATGGACAGCTACTCGAACGAAACTGAGCAGGTTAGCCCCGATCCCATCAACTTCAAGGCTCTGGGGGAAGCAGACCGATACGTTGGATCGCCGGCTCCCCCAGCCAAGGCTCCCTATGACTTCCGAATCACGCAACCCGGTGAGAATTCGCGATACTCAACCCGCACTTCCAAGCGCAGGCGCGAGAATCTGAGTGATCTGATTACCAAGCGTCGCTACAACAAACGATCAGAGTCAACTGGGGTTACTGAAACCCAACCCGATGCGGACGACTCCAAAGCTGATTGCGTTGAAGTGGTAGTCGGTATCATTGCCGATGGGGAAGACATACCCGATGAAGATGAAAAACATGATTCGGTCGGTGGAGATGAATCACCTGAAGACAATCAAAGTGGTGCTGGATATGACCCTGCCACGGGTATGTTCACTGGGTCCGATGCTGAGTTGGTTAACATCGCTAATGAACAGCGAGGAACGATTGTTGCATTAACGCAAGATGTTGAGTATTTGAAGAAGCGATTGATTGAAGATATGCTCCCAACACTGAGCATTTTTCTTTCAACAAAGGAATACTCTGTTTCATCACAACATGTATTTATAGCTTCACTGATTCTTCCAGATAATTACCCTGATAATATGAGCCCTCAATTAGCAGCTATGGTTTCTACAATCATGAATATGAAACAATACCTGAATAAATTCGTCGCATCCACGATGTCTCATGATGCCGACGCCAAAAAAATACGGACGCGTGGACAAGATATAATTTCGTTTGTCTTGCGGCTTTATAGAGAAACCCTTTTAGGACTTGGTTTGCCGATGGATGGAACAACAACACCTTTCACCGTTGAGCTATATAATGGGATCCGCAATTTTCAGTCGTTTTTCTTTTATTTTACACATTCACAGCTAGGGATGCTCCATTATCTCACTATGAATGGCGTCAACTCCGAGAGGGTAATTTATGAAAATATCATCAACCAACTCGCCGCCAACCACGGAATGAGTATTGACTGGAATGGCCCCGTCCAACCGCAACACCAACACCACCACCAACACCAACTCCAAACCCAACCCCAAGTCTGAGCCACCTGCCCACCGCCTCACCCCTCAACTCCAAGCCCACCCCCATCTTCTCCATCTCCAAATACACAACCATGCAGCCAAGTGTGCAGTCAAAATGGAGAACAGGCAGCAGCTATCCCTAACACCATCTCCTATTGAGGAGCGGTGTACCGCACCATGACCTGGATGTAGTGCACATCGGTCCCGGCTGCCTGGAACTGCAGCAAGCACGAGTCGCTGCTGGCCACTCCACAGACCAGCAGGTTCTGCAGGATGACATACGTGTCCGTCCATCCACTCGCGCATGCGATCACATCGTATGCGTTGGTGAGGGGGCTCGTCATGCCCGGCAGCGAGAACATGAATGTGCACTGGATATTGGCCGCACTCGGGGTCACCTGGAACACAACGCTCAGCAGCACCTCGTTGAGGGTGTTGATCACTTTCGAATTCGACACCACCACCGATGTCGCATTGAATATACTCGCCACGCCGACCGTAGGCTCTACGATCACCGTCCCATTCCATGCCAACCCGCCGTTCAGAGCCAGATTGCCGTTGATCGTGACATCCCCGTCGATCGTAGCGCTCTTCGCATACGACACATCCTGGTTAAACGTCGCTGGAGCCTGGATCGTCACAGCCGAGTTTGTTGCCTCGATGACGCCGCTCTGGAGCATGAGGGTACCGCCGGACGTCGCTGTGTTGATGGCATCCGTAGCCACCGCCGGAGCCGTGATGGAAGACGACAGCGTCACCGTCGGCCCCGTCAGCGTGCTCTGGAACGAGATGCTGCTGCCCATGAGCGAGCTGGTGTAGATGGTCGGTGCATTCAACGTGGTGGATGTGAGCGTCGTGATGCTTCCGACAGGGCACTGCAACGATGTCGACAGCACCAGGGTATCTGCCGTCGCCGCAGACACTGAGAGCGTCTGTGACTCGACGAGTGTCGACTGGAGATGTGGAATCACGGCGTGATCGGTGTAGATCTGAGCATATCCATTGAGTCCGAGATAGCTGCCAGACGGCGCAACGACCGACCCCACCTGCAACGGCACACCCAGAACCGCCAGCGACGACCCAACTGTGAGCAGATTCTGAGTGACCAGCGCTCCACCCACAGTGCATAGGACGCTGCCGTCTGTATCTGTAAAGTTGGTCCTGCCCGTTCCTCCATTGCCGATCGACAGCGGCCCTCCAGCCCAGTTCGAGTCCCCAACGGTGTTTTGCAGCGCAATGGTGCCGAGCGATAAGTTGGCTCGCACCTGGCTCGGGGTCTGCCGGGCATAGACACCAGTCGCCGTAGCCACGATCATGTCCTGGGCATTCGGAGTGCCTGTCGCCGTGAGCAAGTCGAGCACATTCGAATAGGCCTGCACATCGGTCTCGATCGCCAGCCCGAGTTCAGCCCGAAGCTGAGCACCCGCAATCGGCCGAGGCACACCATTGGAATCGGCAATGACCACAGACCCGGCCGTATACCCTGGAGTCGACACAAACGCACCGCCGCCGCTGGACACATAGACCATACCGTTGCTCGTGAATGCCGCCGCCCTCGACCCGGTTCCTCCCTGGCTGATGGAGAGCGGGTTCATGAGCTCGATGTGGTCCGAGAACACCGACAACGACGAGTTGACCACGAGCGCCGTTGCGCCTGTATTGGGCACGATGGGCAGCCCGGAGAGATAGAGGGTCTGGATGCTCGAGTCGTATGTGAGATTCGACGAGTTTTCGAGTGGGCCTGTGCTCGAGGACGACGACCCATAGACCAGACTTTTTGGATTGACCTGGTGAT